CTGACTGTTCAGGTTACTCAAAATAAACCCTAGCCTGACTGTTCAGGTTTCTCAAAATATGGGACTAAGCCTGACCTGAGATCTAAGGCCTAGTTAAAATTGTTAACCAGACTGATTATTAAACCGCATGCAGATTACTGGACTGTGTTTTGTGAGAAACAAAAATGGACACCCAACCCCAAACCTGCCCACCCCACAACAAACATTCCTCAAGAGGTGACTAATTAGAGGTTTTTCTTTCGAAGTCAGAATGCATTTGCTGAAAAGTGAGTAACCAACAGTCTGCAAACAAAAAAGCTAGATCTGTGAAACAGATCTGCATGCAAAATTCAAATTCCAGAATAAAACATAAAAGTCCAGAAGTGGGCGAACAGTTAGAACTTTCCACTAAAGTTAACAGCTAATGAGCATAAGAAGAATTTGTTAGATGTTGCAGAAGTGGGTGAACAGTTAGAACTTTCCACTAGAGTTTACAGCTGGTGAGCATAAGAAGAATTTGTTAGATGTTTCAGAAGTGGGTGAACAGTTAGAACTTTCCACTAAAGTTAACAGCTGGTGAGCATAAGAAGAATTTGTTAGATGTTGCAGAAGTGGGTGAACAGTTAGAACTTTCCACTAGAGTTTACAGCTGGTGAGCATAAGAAGAATTTGTTAGATGTTGCAGAAGTGGGTGAACAGTTAGAACTTTCCACTAAAGTTAACAGCTGGTGAGCATAAGAAGAATTTGTTAGATGTTTCAGAAGTGGGTGAACAGTTAGAACTTTCCACTAAAGTTAACAGCTGGTGAGCATGAAGAAGAATTTGTTAGATGTTTCAGAAGTGGGTGAACAGTTAGAACTTTCCACTAAAGTTAACAGCTGGTGAGCATGAAGAAGAATTTGTTAGATGTTTCAGAAGTGGGTGAACAGTTAGAACTTTCCACTAAAGTTAACAGCTGGTGAGACATAAGGAAGAATTTGTGTTAGATGTTTTCAGAAGTGGGTGAAACAGTTAGAACTTTCCACTAAAGTTAACAGCTGGTGAGCATGAAGAAGAATTTGTTAGATGTTGCAGAAGTGGGTGAACAGTTAGAACTTTCCACTAAAGTTAACAGCTGGTGAGCATGAAGAAGAATTTGTTAGATGTTTCAGAAGTGGCGAACAGTTAGAACTTTCCACTAAAGTTAACAGCTGGTGAGCATAAGAAGAATTTGTTAGATGTTTCAGAAGTGGGTGAACAGTTAGAACTTTCCACTAAAGTTAACAGCTGGTGAGCATGAAGAAGAATTTGTTAGATGTTGCAGAAGTGGGTGAACAGTTAGAACTTTCCACTAGAGTTTACAGCTGGTGAGCATGAAGAAGAATTTGTTAGATGTTGCAGAAGTGGGTGAACAGTTAGAACTTTCCACTAGAGTTTACAGCTGGTGAGCATAAAGAAGAATTTGTTAGATGTTGCAGAAGTGGGTGAACAGTTAGAACTTTCCACTAGAGTTTACAGCCGGTGAGCGTGAAGAAGAATTTGTAAGATGTTTCAGAAGAAAATGAGACTATATTAGAATAAAGATTTTTTTTAGGTCTTTTTGTGTGTCTTTTGTGTTTGTGTGTGACTTTAATAAAATTTTTTTTAACACGAAAATTAGGACATCCCTGGAGAAAAAGCTCTGAGGTGTCCTGTGGAGCCAAAATTAAATATAAAGTCGACCTGTTTTTGGGGGAAAACAATGTTTTACTATTTTCATTGTAACTATTATGTCATTTTTGATGACAGTATGGTTGTTATTTTTTTTTTTTAATTGATTCAAAGACTTGTTTTGATTTTAAGCTGTTTATCATTGTTATTTACAGATGTTGGACACAGCTTGTTCAACCACACTTTCCTGTTTAATGATGTCCCCCACCTCTTTCAGCTTTGCTCCGTGATCATTTGACCCAGATTCTCCTTAAGCTTGGCTTCAATTCAATCTATTACCTTGATGTTTATTTCTCTGTCTGTATTCTGGTTTCTCAGAATTTGTGATCATTGGTTCCCTATCAGAGATTTTGAGGTGGCAGTGAATTGAAATTGTTGCTGATTTGAAATGTGTCTGCTGCCCTCAGTTACTGCTGTAGAGGAATTAGTCTTGAAATGGCTGCTTATTGTTTCACGCAGTCAGGTGAAAATACTGGCAATGAAGAAGAAGTGCTTGAGAATGAACAAAGGACACCCAGAAAATAAACACCCCCCCCCCCCCTCCCTTCCCCAAGCATGTACACATCTTTGTACACAAATGTGGTGTGTATATATTGTGTAGTGCTTTAAATTATCTCTTCTGTTCTATGTCATTAAGTCTTTCATTGGCTGGAGTCTCCACCCAAACACTGAGCTCATGACTCACTGTTGGAGCCAGTGTTGGGGTTTCAGACATACCAGCCAAATATTGTAATGTAATATGAAACATTTGGCTTCAGAATTTAGGAAAAAAAGGTTTATTTGGCACTAGAGTTGGGAGACAGTTGATAGGCCTAAATTTAAGAATATAATCTACAAACAAGAAAAGGTGAAATGGTCAGATTTACTGACATTAATAAGGGATAGGAGGAGTTGCAGGTAGAAAGCCTTTATCAGCACTCAAAAACAAGAGGACACTGATACAACTACATAAGGTAAAAAAAACCAAACTAGAACAGTCACTTAGATTAAGACAGTCTCCCAATATATGGGATTACAACTCAGATAGAAACGGATTCCCCTGGAGACAGATCAGGTCTTTGCTGTGTTGATTGTTGAGATACAGCTTTGTGTAGCTGTATTGAGTTCTGAGTTTGTGAGAAATATGTGCATATGTTGAGAGGCCCATGTCTGAAACACACCTTTTATTGTTGCTCTTAACCCCCATGTGTGTTTTGGGACCCCTGTTTTAATAGAGAACCCCTCCCCCCATGTGGATTCTGGGATCCCAGTTTTGATAGAAAATCCCCCCCCCCCCAAGTGGGTTCTGGGACCCCAGTTTTGATAGAGAACCCCTCCCCCCATGTGGGTTCTGGGACCCTAGTTTTGATAGACAACCCTCCTCCATGTGGGTTCTGGGACCCCAGTTTTGATAGAGAACCCCCCCCCCATGTGGGTTCTGGGACCCCAGTTTTGATAGAGAACCCCCCCCCCCGTGTGGGTTCTGGGACCCCAGTTTTGATAGAGAAAACCCCCCCCCCCCCCCATGTGGGTTCTGGGACCTCAGTTTTGATAGAGAAAACCCCCCCCACCCCTTGTGGGTTCTGGGACCCCAGTTTTGATAGAGAAAACAATGTAGACCCTTTGCTCCCCCCACCCCTTGTGGGTTCTGGGACCCCAGTTTTGATAGAGAAACCCTTCCCCCCATGTTGGGTTCTGGGACCCCAGTTTTGATAGAGAAAACAATGTAGACCCTCTCCCCCCACCCCTTGTGGGTTCTGGGACCCCAGTTTTGATAGAGAAAACAATGTAGACCCTCTGCTCCCCCCACCCCTTGTCCCCAATAGTCAACTTTTATGTCATTGCTGTCTAAATGATTGGTGCTTGATACCATAGTCGATATCATTACAAGGCGGTCTGCTGCCAGATAACCCGCAGCTGGAATCTCTAGGTCTCTCGGAATGACAAAGTTTCCTCTAACAAGCATGACGTAAAAGGCTCATTAGGAATTTGCTGAAATCTGATATCGCAGCCCTGCTGTTAACCACAATACGCCAGTCACTATCTAAAGGGAAAATGAAGAAGTAGAATAAGAAGTTTCTGTAAGTATAACCGTCTATCCTTGAATGTGAACCTGATGTGATATTACTGTGTTGATGCCTGTGTGATACAGTGACTGATATCTTGTTACGCAGAATAGAAACTTGCAACATTTGAGAACAGTCTCTGGGTTGTCTGTTTAGTTTATTATCTGTTCATGTTTTTATTTATCGATTTTATTTTTATTTACCTGTTTGTGTTTTTATTTATCTTTTCATAATTTTGTTGATTATCTCTTCATATGTTTTTATTTATTATTTCTTTATATGTTTTTGTTTATTATCATTGCATCCGTTTTTATTTATCATATGTTATATTTTCTCAATTGTAAGCTGTTGTTTTGTTTCATTCTCTATTCATTACTTTTTATTTCTCATGTTTTTGTTCATGATCTAATCATATTTTTGTTTAAATTTGTTTATATGTTTTATTTATTATCTGTTAATATGTTTGTGTTTACTGTGTGTTCATATGTGTTAACTGGGAATGACAGAACGGAATAACATTGCAATAAGTATAGACTCCTAGCTTTCTGAGATCTACAAGAACAACATATGCACAAGAACAATATACAAAAATCAACACACAGGGAACCCTTGAAGCCATATAAACAGGATGGTAAACAAATTAACATGCCCTGATTGACACCCATAGATGGAAGTAGAAAGGGGCGGACACTAGACCACGCATGTCAAACTGAGGGTCCCCTCGACCCACGCCCGAGGGTCATATGGGTCTTATGTGTGTCTTTATGACGGCCACACACCCACACTAACTGAAGTCATTTAATAAACATTACTGCATATTTAATTTGTGCGGGCCGCATGTGTGTTTACAAAAAAGCCGCATGTGACCTGCTCTAGACATTAGCTGTTTAACCTAGATTTCGAACACCGACCGTGGGCTGCAGCGAGTCGCAGCTGGATTTGAAAGCGAGCCTCTTATCGACTGCGTTTACGCGGCCCCTAATAAGAGAGGGACACGACACGGCGTCTTATCGATAAGGAAGACTCACCGAGGACCCGATAAATGGTTCTTCTTATCAGAAATTCCTCTTAGAAAGGAATTCAAGCAAGAAAAATTGCCAGGGATAAACAAATTGTTTCTTCGCAACAGAAATTCGCCACATCCGATATCGCCGTAGGCAGTCTAGCCTGTATTAGGACACCTGCTAGTTACCAAGTGTGGATGGGGCAGGGAATGACTGTTCTCAGCCACGCAGCAGGGATGGGATGTTTGTTTGATCAGATTTGTTCTTCATTTTCCCTCTCCCCCTAAAAAAACCCCGACCCATGCCCCACCGGATGAAAAAACCGACCCAGACCCGCCGGATGAGAAAATCCAGACCCATGACCCAGCCGGATGAAAATCCAGACCCATGACCCAGCCGGATGAGAAAATCCAGACCCATGACCCAGCGGAGGGAAAAAACCCGGGCCCAGCCCACCCATGGAAACCCCCCGACCCTTTTACCCAGCCATGAAAATCCGGCCCTGAATCTCATCACGAATCTTAGCAGAGACCGGAAGTGTTATTTTGAGCCAAAATGTTTTTAAAACCAAAGTTACGACTTATTTTGCACAAATTGGGGCGCTCCACAGTAAAGGTTTGGGAGCTGTGACCCCTTTGCCCCCTTGGGAATTTACGTGCTGAGCCCCAATCTCTTCCCTGTCCTTTTTAAACAGGGGCCCCACTCATCTGCACCCAAATTTCAGTTTAGGACAGACAAACAGCGACATTTAAAAATAGATAAAAGGCAGACCAACAGGCCCGATAGACGACGGACGAGATAGAACAGACGACAGAAAAAGAAAAAGGACAACAGACAGACGACAGACAGACAGACAGACAGACAGACAGACAGACCCAAAAACAGACAGACAGAAAAAGACAGACAGACGACGGGCGACAGCAGATAGATAGATAGATAATAGATAATAGATAGATAGATAGATATATAGATTTGATAGAAAAAAGGGTATATAAAAAGATAGATGATAGATAGATAGATAGATAAAGATAGATAGATAGATAGTAGGGAAATATATAATAATGATAGATAGGTAGTAACGGATAGGTAAGGAAAAATGAACATAAACAGGTGACCACCCCCCACAACAAAAAGAAAAAGGGACCCGAACCTGAATTTGTTTGTCCGGCAGTCAACACAACACACACGTGTTAGATCAGAGACAGTTGACCAGACTGACAACACACACGTGTTAGATTGGAAACAGTTGAGCGAAACAGCCAGAAAC